CTATAAACGTACTTTTCCTTTAGACTCTGGGCTGAACAATGAGCAAAGGATTGTCATCTACATTTTTATGTTTTTAGAGAAGATTTTTGCATACATATTGTTTTAATATTACCTTCTTTTTGGTATCTTTTTTGTGCAAAGCTAAGGTCTGTGCTAATAGGCACCCCTCCAAACAAACAAAAAAACCCTAAACAAATCACATCTAACCCCACAACAATTGACAAGATATTTTTGTTAAATAGGAGGTTATCAGGGCTATATACAACTTAACTTGTGCTGTGTGTGTCATTTGAAGCTGACGTATCTGTGAAGACAGGCAGTACCTATATGGAGAGGGAGACCTGTGTGAGTAACCTGTGTTAGTGCACACATAGCACTGCAGAGAGGGGCAGAGCAGAAACCTTTGAAGCGGTCCTAAGTTCATGCTTTTGACTGCAGAGTTAGCGCCATTGATGATGGAGATGGAAGTATCTTGTATCCACTGCATTACCTTCATTTCTGCTTTTCTCTGTGGAGTTCATACTGTTCCAGTTGCTCTGAATTTTAGTCGCTGTCCCTGGCATGATATAATTATTTCCTTTCATGAGGAAGCTGAGACTCGTGATGGATTCTGTACCTGCCACCTAGTCTGTGTCTGTGGTCATCAGAGACCACAGACATTCTGTGGTCATACTGACATTCTTAAAATCTCTACTCTGTCATCGTAGGTATCTTGTTCAAGGTGATGCCTGAAAATTCAGATTGAATGGGAAGCCTGCATGAAGACTGTAGTTTAAATTAGAAGCATTCATTATCTTCTGTAAGAGTTTTTGAAATAGTAGTTTTACTAACTTTGAGCATAGTGTGAGGCATATGTATTCTTTCTTTTATTTTATGGAAGGAGAAACAAATTTCAGACTAAATTCTATTTATTTAATACAGTATTAGGGCAGTTGGCAACACAGACAAGAACTCTTAACAGGGAAGCAGCTCAGTTCCTTTTCAAACAGGTATAGATTTTCACCTTGTCTGTCCTTTGATACTCAGTTTTAAATTGAATTATTCAAGCTTTTATTCCCATCTGCATTCTAATCCTTCAAACTCTGCGTTTACCACTGATAAGTTTTCACTGTTTCTTGAACGTGTCAGTAGCATCTGCTTTGCTGTACTGTTGATGTGATATGTGTTAGTCTCAAAAGATTATGTTCTTTTAACATAACCAAGATCAGTTCAGAGGCATTTTATCCTATGATGTTGGGAGTAGCTATAAAATTCAGTTACAGAAGAAAAGTCCTTCCCCCTGGGAATATAGAGGAAGGGTTTAAGACACCAGCATGGATTCAAGATCTTAACAGTGTTTGAAAGCTCCTGAATTTTCCTCTTTTCTCTCAGCCACCTCTTTTTAGTCTGAATTTTCTTGTAAATTGTTTCCTGCTTGCTATAGCATTTTTCTCGCTTGCAATACGGTTGTGGAAAACCTTCACATTCTCTTGAAAAATATCTTGGACTGTCTTGCCCACCTTGGAGTACTCACAGGCTTCTGCTGGAATGCCAAAGATTATCTTGGATGCTGCAAGTGACCAAAACAAGCAAGGTATCTGTTTAGGAATTACTGTTAGGCTAAATTACATTCTCAGACTCTTTAATGTTATATTTTGACCACTCAAATGATGTTCCAATATGAAGATATCAGATGAGAAAATATGTACCCTTCTCTCATATTTTCTTAAAGATGCCCCATTACCACAATAGCAAAATAATTTGTTTTGCAATAAGTAGGCGTTGTAAGAAATCTGACTAATTTTCTGTGAGTTTATGGCAGCAGAGAAGCAGAAGAGCTGAATATCTTAATTAAATATAAAAGATAATTCATTAGGTCCATGAATTTCCACCTCTTGCACCCCAAGATTATTTGGACTGAGGCTTAGCAAGAACTGCTGATGAAGCACAACAGGAAAAGCAGAATTCCTCCCAGCAATATGGAACTTGTGTGGAAACTGAGAAGCTACAAGGAAAATGTCAGTTTGTTTCTGTCCTCTACCTAACCCTCTGTATAAATATTAGCAACATTGGACCTCCCAGGAAGCGCATGGCTAATTCAAAAAGCTTTTCTTCTCACTTCAAGCTCTTGCTGATGAAGTGGGTGTTATAATAGTGCTTCAAATTACCGGTGCTCTACCATTGAACTAAGTCTTTCTTTCTGGTTTCTTAAGCTAGCAACACCAATGTATTTGGGAACTAACAAAAATAATTTTAAATAAATCAATGGGAGGGGATGCAAACCCTGGACCTTACCAACATGCTAAGAAGATGCAGGAAACCTGCAAATGTACTTTAGCAGTTGCTTATTTGAAATACCTCCTTTTTTATTTTATTAATTGTTTAAAACAATTGAGCTTTGTACAGGTTCTTACATTACACTTAAATGCCTTATTGAATATCCAAGAGTGAAGAGTTTTACTTTTTGCAATTTGCCCTGTTCAATCAAAAAGAAATAAAAATTAACATTATTTGAAGTGAAATCTGTAGTTCCCACCTCAGCTAGTATCCAGCACTGCAAACCTGATTTAGCTTTTTTCAGAGATTTCACAGCAGAGGTGGCTGTTGGAAGTGGTCTTCAGGAGGTGAAAATGTTTATTTTTATGACAGGCTGAATATTACATGCAAAGTATTCAAATAAAACAATCTGAATTATGTCAGTGCAATTAAATATGCTATTAAAATTGCAAAGAAACAGAAATTGCTTGTTGCTTATAAATGTGCAGTGTTTATAAATCTCGGAACTGTTTTGGTCTGCATGCTTATCCTAGGCAAAAAGGAACAAAATGTCTTTTGGGAATCACCTTTTAGTCTCAAGCATTTTAATTCAAATTTAGGATGCAGCTGTCCCCTATGCCAGTATGTTTTGGGGGAAAGTGCAAGTTGTGGGAGTTTGGTAGATGTACTGAGAGTAATATAAGGCTCTTATGCTTTGGATATTCCTCAAAATAAAAGCATGTCATTACTTGGCTAGTTGGAGTTAATGCTTAATTGATTTGCTTCACGAGGCACCCTACAGTGATGTTTGCCTAAAGAGGAGGAGCAGATGTAGCAATTTAAAGGTGCCTAACTCCTTTTCAACTTTACTTGCATTTTCCTGCTTCTGCACACACACAGGAGGAGGTCTTTTCTCTCAGTCGTGTATGACAGCTTCTCCAGCAGTAGATTTGTCGTTGTTTGTCCTTCATTGGTGCATATTTCTTCAGATATTTCCTAGTTGTTATAGGTCTTTACTAGTTAATAGAACTAAAAAGCCTGAAAAAGAACTAACAGCATTGTCAGGACAGGTGTATTGATAGCATAATCCTCAATGCAAACATATTCTGAGCTACTGGAGAGGCAATCCATCATCTTCAGCTGCTCTGCATTATCTTGTCAGTGAGCCTCTGGCAGGCAGGTTAGAGGTCACTGCAGTCTCTGTAAGAGCTCTGTGTTTCCAGGTAGGATGGAGAATGATCTGAGCAGTGCCAGGAAGTTAAGGACAGAGATGAATCCTCTCATCCCTCTCAGATTTGTGTTTGCAAAGAAATATTTAGTAGTAATGTTAATGTTATTAATATTAAATATTAATCTGACCTGACAAATTCCGAAAGGCTTATTTATGGATATAGCAAGATATGATTTTATGATTTATTCTTAACTGTGCAAACAGTAAGAAAATAAGAAAATTTCCGGGTGGGGGGGGGGTATATTCCCTTCGTTATGATCAAGAGGCGATAATGATCAAGATACTAATAAGTTGCTGGCCTGTCAGCTTAGTAAGAAAAGTATTTTCCATATGTTTTAGGTCATGGACCGTAAGTACTGATGCTAGTAAGGTATTGAATCACTTAGCTAATAAAAGGAAGCTTAAGACAAAAGCTTTATACTAGGAAGTTTTCTAGTCGTTTAACCATATACTTTTAGGTTTTAGGTATAACAAAATGTCCATTGTATTACTGTCCATAATTTATTTTAATTGCCGCTAATAACCAGTCAAAAGGGAGCAAATGCAAAACACTTGAGACAGAAGTTAGTTTATTTTAATCTGTAAAATTCCTTGCCTTGTGTTTCCTACTAACGTCCCCTATCATGCAGGTGTCTTGATGTTCCACTCCACTTTTTGACCTCCTCAGCAACTCTGGAGTGGCATAGCAGGTTGTTGCCTTGTTTGGTTTTTAGGGTCTGGCACTTGTTGTCCAAAAATGACTGCTCTGCTCGTATTGATAGAACTTTGTACTTAGGGTCATTTGCCATCGGAAGTGTGCCAAGTCTCTTACCTTCCAAGATCACATGTGTTCAGTTTAAGGTGGTAGAAGCAGGCAGGGGTTGAGTGCTGTAACGTTACGGAAAGTAAAAATAGAAGTAGCTGAACATCAAGCCGTAATACAGCTGCTGTGATAATAGGTGCAATTTGGACACCCTTTAAGTCACAGAGGCAGAAAGCAGTGCTTGGTTTGAGGGACAAACAGCAGTGAATACTAATCCACATTTATTTATTTGCCCATATTCTGAAATGACATCCACTAACATCTGGAATAGAATAAAAAGGTCAGTTTGTGCTGATACAGTGATATGAGCCATGGCTTTCTAAACTGGCAGGTGGAGAGTGCTCAGATGTTCTTGTTGCTACATTTCATAAGCAAAGATTTGTTTTGAGGAAGTAATGACATTTCTACCAACAGGAGAATGAACACTTTGCTTTTCTAATGTCAGAACCATTGGAACTAAATTCATTGCTCCTCAGTGTCAGGGCTTCCATTAAGCTAATGGTACTACCCAGATTTAAGTTACACCCCAGGGCACCAGCTATGGCAGTGGATCCTTACTCTGCTCATCATTCTTTTCCTGTTTCCGTCATATACAGCCTAGACTGAGGCAGCCGTTACTGCTCTGGTGAAGCTTTGTTAGTGTTTGAATACAGTGGTGATGAAATAGGTGGTCTTTCTATGCGGGATTTAAATAATAAAAAATTTACATTTCCATTAAAAATTTAATTTTAGGGTAAGATGGTAAAAGGAATGGGGGGTGCCATGGACCTGGTATCCAGTGCGCAGACCAAAGTGGTTGTCACCATGGAGCACTCAGCCAAGGTAAGGCTCTGCCACTCTTTATAAATAAGAATTTTGTGCTGTACCAAAAAGGAAGAAGGAAAAAAATAAGACATCTTACATTCATTCTGCTACTTTGTGGGGATTTGACAGTTTTTCTGTTTGTTATGGAGGTGCAACAGGAGGCTAGGTTAGTATGGTTCCTCTTCTAAGTGAATCATTCACCATGGAAAAAGATGAAATATTAACTTGATGTTTAAAAGCTGCACACATTTTTTAGTTACTTCATGCAGATTTAATGATTGGCAATTGCCAGAGCTACAGTAGATGCTACCCCAGAGGTTTTACTCCTTGCCTCAGAATAATTTGAAAAATTAGGTTCCCCATGGTTAAATACTTGTTATGATGGAAAGATATTTACCTTTGAAGTTGCCAGTCAAATTGGTACTGGCAGCTTAATAGAATAGATCTTTTTGGCATGATGAGATGCAGGCTGCCTTACATCGCTATGTGATAGAGGTTAATTTAGAGACTACTGTGTGGGGGAAGTTTTATAGATATAAACAGTGGTCTCCCTTAGAAGGTCATAGGAAACTTGTCCCTTGAAACTTCTAAAACAGGACTGTCCGAACTGTGAGAAAAATGTACTGGAGGACAAAAATACTTATTTTCAGGGAACTATACCAAATGTTTAAAAATGAATTTTTTGTTTAATTTCTTTTTTTTTTGTTATTCCAAATTTGTTGTGTGTCTGCAATAAGAATTAGTTGTGTATTGCTCAAGATAATACCCCTGTCAGAATGCATAAGGGCAAGCATAAGGAATTTTCATGGCAAACCATAGTAAATATGTAAATATGAAGAAAGAATTTTCACTCTAGAAAAATAATTGTTGAAAAATATAGTAGTTTCACAGTTTATACTAAGCTGTGATCTCAAGGTGCACATTTTCAGTAACAGGGCTGAGTCTCACCCACTATTTTTTTCATGCATATCTATAAATAAGTGAAATTCAAATAAATTAATCTATACAACTCTCATCAGTATCACAGCCTCACAAAAACTGGGTGTGTAATTATCCATGTGCTCAGACAAATACTTCAGGTATTAATGAAAAAACATTTATGCTAAATTTCTAGTTACTGTGGAATTTGGTTAAAGCTCACAGTCCACACACAGTGTAATTATTCATGCTAGTTTTTTCTCTTAAATATACTAGTAACAATATGTTTTTTCATTACAGTGCTTGGAAGTTGTTTGCATGTTGGTTAATTGTCAGTAGGAGTACTGAAACCAGAAAAAGATGGAAACACAGATAAGTTCACTGTTAAAAGCAGTCCAGGCATACACTTAGCTATTTTGGCATATGTATACATAACATATATGTACATGGTATGCCTGGTGTGGACTTGTAGAGAGCCAGTTACAGGCTTTCATAAATTTTTTTTTTCTGCTTTTGTGAGAAGACACTGCAAAACTAAACCATGGGCATGATTTTGCAAGTTACTCTTACTTTAAAATGAAGGGTATTATTGGCACCGTTTCTTCTGCTTAGTTAGCATCTTTTTGAGGTCTTCATACTGCTTCTTCTTGTTTGTTCAAAGTGAAGATGGTGAAATATGGAGATCTAATGTTTGGAAATCAAAAGTTTCTGTTACAGTTTTCAGGTGCTCCTCTTTTTTTTTTTTCTTTTTTTTTCTTTTTAATATATATACACACACAAGCAAATTTAGCACCTGTAAGACCAGTTCTGAAAGTCAGGAGGTTTTTTTGGGGGTGAATGCTTCTTACAGAGCCAATTTTATATTCATGGCTTTTTAATTCTTTACACCAAAGATTTTCTCACAAATGTATTTCATCTACATCTATGCATCAGAGCAGCAATCCTTCATCCTGCTCAAAGCCCAGAGTGCTACTGAGTGAAAAAAATGTCTGCATGTACTTTGGCAGTCTGTTGTGTCTGCTGGCTTTATAGTATAGGGACATTTTTGTCATCTTATTCTCCAAATAAATAGTAAGAAATCTATCATTAGATGCCAAAGTCTTCTGTAAATCAACAGCAGTCAAGATTTGATGGGTTGAAGTAGAGTGGAAGGTCATGTGATATACCCAGCACCTTCAATGGACATGTTCAAAAGTTGCTGCTATGGGTAGTTCTAGCAATCAGTTTTGTCTGATTTGTGATCTTGTGAAGGATCTTTTAATCCTTTTCAATTGTTTTGTGTAATAGTAATGGCTTGTTAAACATTAAAATAAGTTTTCTAAGAATTTAAAAGTGCATTCTCCTTTCAGTACAATGATGCAGTTCTTAAACATAGAAATAGGCTGAGTCCTTGCAGTGCAGGCAAAATATAATTTACACATAATTATGAGGGCAAAACTAGTATCTATCTTAACACTGAAATAAATACTCAAGCAATTTTCATCTGTTTAAATTCTGATATGGAGTATATTACAAACAAAACTAAATATGCCCTGCCCCAAATTAGTTACATTTTTAATTACTTAATTTTTTACTTGTAATGAAAACCAAAAGGTACAGAACAAAGATGAAACAACATGAAATTAGTTTTGTAGAAGGCTCTTCAGCTTAAGAGACACTATTGGGGAAGGGTAACGTAGAAATACACAAAATAATAAGGGCCTGGAGAAGGTAGATGCAGAATGGCTTGTCACTGCCTTACAAAATAAGTAGGGGTAGCCAACTGAAATTATCAACCAGCATGTTTAAAACAACCAGAAACATTTTTCCTAGCTGGCTAATGAAGTTCTGGATGATGAGGGGGATGATGCAGAAGCTCAAAGAATTAAGTCTGTATGAAAGGGACTAAACCATTTTATGAAGTTAAGTTCATCAGTGACAATGAAATAGCATTGCCCAGAAGCAGTCTGTAGCTCAGGAAGTCTATACATCACAGCATGCCAGGAACCAGGAGGGTACATCTATGGAAGGGGGGGCTCAATTTTTGCTCCATATGCTTAGGCCACTGTGAAACATTTGCCAAATGAACCTTAAGTCTCATTCTTTATGGTATTTCTTAATGTATTTTTTGGTAAGCTAGTCTTTTGTTTATAATCATGAAGAAAAATAATAGAATGTAATGTTGTTATTTAATCTCTAAACAGTCACTGTTCGTCTGTACCTAATCTGCTAAATATTGCCTAAGAGAAATAAACGCCAAGTTCTTACCCCCATACCATTATTGACATGTTTTGCAAAACATAGTAAAGTAATGGCTGGTAATTGTTCCATGTTACGAAACGAGTTGTCTACACCATTCAGAAAAATAGAATGGAAGATAGTGTTAAGTACTTGATTTGGATGTGATTGAAACATGGAGCACTGCATTGAAAGCTGCTTTCCATCATTGTGAATAGTTTTGATTTCAATGTGTTGTGGAAGATTAAGGACATTTTTGTTCTCCAACAACAGAATTTTTTACTTAAAGCAGACTGAAACACCTTAAGGTTTTATGGATCTACACAACAGTCTTCCTTTATCTGAATAAATCCCATATAAACTCAGAGGGTAAAAAATCATGGAGTTCCATCTGGATTCCTATTCTGATAGTGCCCTGATGGAAAAAGCCACCTTTAATGCTAACTGGCAATACAATAATCTTCAGTTTGAGTGTTAAGAAGGTGGAATTTATCAGTTCTCAGGGGCACAGAAGCTGTTCAATCTGTCACCTCTGCAAGTCTATGCATTTCAGTCTCAATTGGATACCAAGAAGAGACGCTTAATTTCATATGGCTGAGAAGCATACCTGATATGTTACTGAAGATATTACAAATAGCACACTGTAATCTTGGCTTTTAGGCAAAGTGCACAGGGAGGTCCTCAAGATCGACAAGATATAAGTAGATCAATTGAAAATAACACTGTCACAAGTCATTATTTTCATTAAGAGTGAGCAAGTTTCATCAGAGTAGTTGCCTTGATACCAGATGCAGATCTTGACAGTATAATTAGCATTAGAAAAAAGTATTTCCTTGCAGAAAAAGGTAAATGCAGAAGCACATGGTTTGCTCATTTGGTTATCACTCAGGAGTCAAACTGGCTGAGAGTTGGTTCCTGAGTTCATATTAAGCCCTAAGGCAAACTGATGATTGTACATTTTAAAAGTATTGCATTCACATGGTTAAATGGGACATGTAATACTCTAAGAGTTTTGAAATGCATAACTGAAAATTGATAATTAGAGAAAAAATGAAAGCATGTGATAATGGGAGAAATGCGCACTTTATGCTACCTCTGTAAAACGCCTACAAATACTGACTAAAATTGTAGCGATCCATCTCTTTTATACATCCAGAGCTATTGCAGCCTACATTCATTTATCAGGATCTAAAGCCATTTGTGAACTCCTATTAAAAAAATTGAAGAAAAAAAATAAAGAAAAAAGAAGGGGAAAAAAAAAATAAGGAAAAAAACTCACCACCCAAACCTTACCTGCCCAGCTTCATGCCAGAAGCTATGTCTTCTCATTAGGTAATACTTTTCCCAGGATTTAGAGTAGCTGGCATTTGATAGTCCAGAAAAGGAAGTGCTGTAAGGTAAATCCTATTTTCTATATATACATTCTTTTCTACTATGTTTACATCTCTAAAACGTAACTCCTGTGTAGCACTTGAAGATGAGCATCTTGCACTCATCTCTTAGTCTGCTTTTGGGCTTTCTTGGAGAGATGGAGGGAATGGGAATTCAACGTGGGTAAAGAAACTGGGTTTATTATTTTCAGAGCATGACTATGCACTTGAGCCCTGGGGATTTGAAATCCCTGTGTGTATGGCTAATCCTGCACATACTGTTTGTGATAAAGTATAAGACAGAGAAATGTTTTTCCTGCAATCATCAGTGAGGTCCCATGTTTCTCTTATCCTGACCTTGCAGCAGGAAACAGAAATTATTAAGCAGAAGTATGCAGAACTTCTAAACTCGGGAGTCCGCTCAGTGGTACAGTGAGATTCTTAGTCATCTCCCTGTATGTGGGATTTAAGTAATAACTGTCCCAAATTGCCAAAGATGTAATCTGCCACAGAAGTTAAGTCGAAGTCTTCTGAGTACAGTGAATGTTTCGATAACACTGAATGTCCAGAGCTGTGATTTTCATGTACGTATTTGAATTCTGAGTAAGCTGTGTTGTTTTTGAAAATTAACATTTGTCTGTATATTGTTAAACACAGGGCAATGTCCATAAAATCTTGGAAAAGTGCAATTTGCCCCTTACTGGGAAACAATGTGTAAACCGCATCATTACAGAGAAGGTAAAGTACTTTTCTTGAATCCTTATCAATACTTTCCTCCTCTATTCCTAAGAAGGGACACTCAGTAATTAGTAAAAATGAAGAACGTGTTCGGTATCTGTTGCTAATGAAGGGCGTAATTCCCTTGAAGTTCAATTCCAGAGGTCTGGGGGCTCATATTTTTCACTTTGAAGCTTTCACCATTGACATCTAGCATACTGGACTGTACTTTTCGATGCCTTCAGAACAAAGGTGCCATGCATGAGAAGTATGCCAAAAATTTGCTGTATGAGATGCAAATCCTCAAACACAGCTGTAATCATGGCTCCTTTTTTTTTTTCCGGCAGACCAGCAACTGTGTAGCACGTATGTGTCAGGCAGTTGGCATCTTCCCTGGTGTATACTACAGACTTTTTCAGAGAAACACAACCTGTAGCTGTAGCGGCGCTTTTCTTTTGTCCTTACTTGATTCCATTGGTGAAGCAATTTACCCTCCAGTGCAAGTACATGTGAGCATCTGATATTGCTGCTGCTCAAAGTACATTAGTGGATCTTTTCAGCAAAGGATAAGTGACTTAAGGTTTTTACTGTAATCATACTCCTTTTATTATCAGTGTTTACATTTCTAAGGGCTTAGAGTAGTCCCTCTGTGAGCCATCTATCATATTAAGTAGAATGCATCAAAGGTGCTGATGTAGAATTTGCTTTCTCCCGGTGGTATATTGCTACCGTAATTTAAAGGGTTTTTTTCATCCAGAAAGTAAGGTAAAATAAATGAAAATGTGGAAGTTTTTCCAGTCTTCTACTAACTGGTCATGTATAAATGTAAGGTACAAAAAAGTGAGAGTGAACAAGGACTGACAGAAAATAAACAACAAGCAGAAATTTTTCTAAGAGTCACCACTTTTCAGGTCAGGTTGCTTTATTAGGAGATGACACAGGTGCACAACAGTACTGAGATAGTGTTGCAAATTCTGTTTCCATACTGTCTTCCTAGTGTGTATATTCCTCATGACCAGCTTCTCTTTTAAGACCTAGAAGAGCTATCGCTTTTCAGTCCCATAAATCAGTCTTGTGCCCAGAGGAGAGCTGAACTTTAGGACTTCTGTGATAAGCTTAAGACATCACTTTCGTTTCAGATTCAGTCTCCACTGGTCTTTTTCTATTTACTTTTTTTTTTTTTTAAAGAAAATGACTATAGACCTTATGGTTTCCCTGGCAACTAGCTTGCAACCTGTGTATCTCCCTCTGGTAGTCACCATTACAGGTGTTTTTATTTGATGTGATTGTGAGCCTTGGAAGTGGAAAGCATATCTAATGAAGATATTAGAAAGAACAGGCTTTGCTCCTTCAGCCACTTCCTCCCAGGCTCTCTATTTAAAATAAAACAAGAAATCTTGTCTTTCATGGCTAGCTTCTGAAAATACTAAAGTTTGCCCTGGGTGTGCAATAGCTGTTGGAGAAGCTTATAATCTGACAAAGATGATCAACCATTCTGTATTTCACTAGTGGCCTTAAAATGAAATAGAAGAATGAGGGACACGTTGTCTTTTCCTGTTTTCCTTCATGATCTCTTGGTGAGGATTGTCTTGCAGCAAAGAACGTCTCAGCCTTTGGACCTCCAGTTCTCACCAGATTGGAGCAGGAGGCATGGTCCTCATTTCATGCAATGAAGACCACTTGCATGTTTTCCCACAAAACACCTCTCATATTTTGGATTCTTTCAGGTACAGATAACTGTAGCAGAAATCTTTATTGGTGGTCAGAAAAGTGAAAAGTGAAACCATTTGATAATGGCATCTTTTGTTACTGAGGGAACTCTACCTACTTCAGCACACCATTTTGTACAATATTACTACTTACATCCTCGTTTTCTGCTTTGATAATAAAAAATTAATTGTGTGCTATTTGAACCTGACAGGCTGTGTTTGATGTGGACAAGAAGAAGGGATTGACCCTTGTGGAAATCTGGGAAGGACTGACAGTGGATGATATCAAGAAAAGCACTGGCTGTGACTTCACAGTAAGTCATTTTACAAACAAATGTAGTTAGTCTGGTGTCAGAAGAAATACTCTTCACAAATACTCATCACATGAAGACTTGTAGATGCAGTGAGTTTCCTCCTTAAAGGTGAGGGATGGGTAGATTTTCTGTGGGGTTTACAACGAAAATAAGAAGATAATTTAGGACTATCCTAGTATCATTATATTGGAAGCTTTAGGAGCTAGGAAGAACAGAAGAGATGGAGAAATGACTAAAGGGACAGTGTAGAAAGGGAACTTTTATGATGCTTTGCAGGGGGAATCTGGTTCATATCTGAGAGGTGGATGAATGTTTATTTTTCCACTGTATAAATTAATTTACCTAACTCTCTGTTGCTAAGTTTTCTTGCTATCTTTAGGTGGGGTTGTGAGTCTTCTCAACAGGGGTGAGAAGGTGAAACTTTCTGAGCCATGAGCCTGTGGAGTTTCATTCATTTCCTGTGTCCATAAGAGGGAGTTTCTGATAACTAAGTATGATAGTGTATGTTTTTCTTGTGGAGTTTTAAATATTTTAAATAAAGAGCTGTTCACTTCTGAAAATACAGTCGTTTATCTAAGAAAAATTGTTTGGTTAAAGACAAGTGACCTGCAACTGCAAAGTGCAGGAAACTACTGCAAAATCACTTTGCTCCATTATTAATTTTCCATGTAACATTTTATGGAAATCATTATTATTTTTTAATTTACAGCAGAAGCAACCTTCCATATTCAGCAGTTCTGTGTGCAAAAGAAATTATTCATTTAGCTTCTGACTGTGATTTAGGAAAAAATGATCAATTTTTTAAAACTTTAATAATGTCAGGACTTCTTTTTCTTTGGCTGATCAGCCTGTCAAACAGCTAGCATCCAAAATTAAAACACAAAAATAACCTTGTAGGTTAGTCACTTTGTTTTGTTCTTGCATATTTAGGTTGGGGATTAACTTTATGACGAATTTGAAGGTGCAATATTTGGTAAGCATTTAAACAGACTGAAACTACAGGAAAGGACTTTTATTGTCAGAGGACACCAGTCTTTCATGTTCCAAACCTGCTTGTTTGGAAGGAGTTGGTTTCCTTTCTGGTTCAGGTGACCAATATATATGTATTTAATTGAGCGTGTGTTACCCAAAGTAAAGTCCAGGAACCTATGCTCAAGGCAATGAAAGCAGAAGCAACCAAAGAATTCAGAAAACGAAGTGATAAGCTTAAAATGATGGGCTATGAGATTAAGCATTGCAGCAGCACAGTGGGTATGATAGGGCAAGACTATTAGGCCCAAAGAAAAGATTAGTACCACCCACTGTCCCTTAGTGCTTTCCTGTAAATGTTACAAATGAATGGTATAAATTTTGAATCTTTAGGATAGCCTGAAGTTAGCAATTGATGAGAGGTATTGCAGCAATCCATCGTCTAGGTCCCTGGGATCTGTCTTACTAGGATCGGAAAGGGACACTTCCCAGGCACCATTTCTTAGTTCTCCTGAAGGCGAATTCCAGTGCAGTCTGTTTTGTATGCCTGCTGTGGTCATGCATGAAATCACGAACTGCACTAAAGGAGCTGTGGGCATGAAAAATGTAGATACTGCTTGGTTTATGCACTTTCATGTATTTATCTTGAAAGCACATGGCTCGCATAAACGCTTGCAAAGCATGTACCTCTGCCGAGGTATGTGCAGGGGTCAGCGTTACTCACTGACTGGTATTTCCAAAAGTGCCTGCAATCTCTATAGCACTGCAGATGGAAAGCATGAACCACAATGTTTTGTTTGTTAAAGCTGCAGCATGGAAGAGCACTGGCTATTCCTTAGAGTGTTCCCAGGCCGCAGTGACCCAGTCCTCCTCTCATTGAAACCCTTACCAAAACTTCTATTGATATCAGTGACAGCAAGACTGGGTCACTTGTATGTAATATTGGACCCTTGGGGGCCCGATTTTCATATACAGCTAACACCTACAGCTCCTTCCCTTAGTTTTGGAGGTCAGAAAATAGAAATTTGAGCACTGCGATAGGTATTTGTTCAGAAAGCAGCATCCTTGGTCCTTTTTTTCCACATTTCAAGACTCTGCCTCAGGCTTTCTCTTGCAAGAGTAGCAGTTGTGCTTGTGATTATTTATGTTCACTGAATGAGACATCTTGTTCTTGTTTATATTGGTGACAGGAACTTCAGTGATATTGTATTGCTACAGTAAAAGCAGGTTTTTTTGGATCATATGTTTTGCTAGTCTGAAACAGAGCTAATGGGTGGAAAATGAGAAGCTGACCCTTTTCTAGCAGGTTTTTTCAGTGGATCCACTGAATGATCTGAACTAAAACAAACATCTCTCTAGGTTCATTACAAGCGAGATTTTAAGGGATGGCTGTACCTTTACATAAAACTATCTCTCCCCATGCAGACTACTCCTTTTTGGAGAGGAGAACTTTATAGCCTATATGGCTTTCTTTGAGACACATTTGGCTATGCAGTCCCATTTTCACAGCCTGCTTACTTATATGGAAAAACATTTCCTCAAGGACATTTGTGACCAAAAAAAAGTCAGAGAAAACATGATTTAGAGTCAACAATCTGCATTATAGACTGGCATCATGTAAAAAATAAACAATTCACCCTCGATTTACTGTGCTGTGAAGACAAGGTGTTGGCTTATTTTGCAGTCTTAAATCAGATTTGCTGTAGCCTAGCATATAGATCAGCCTGGCAGGTAATCTGTTCGGGCTTGTACTGGCTTATACTGTTGATTAAGCCATGAGAGAACAGACTGAGAACCATACTTCCACCCATGTATTTCATTATAAAAATAATCAGGATAAGTCTGTTCGTAAAAATTCCCCATCCCTCCCCCCCCCCTTGCGCTTCTTTTTTCTTAGTGTAAATGCTCAGTTGTACAAAATTATCTTAAAAGATAACATGGAGTTTAGGAAAAGTGTCTGCCAAGGAAACATTGGGTAGTTGGATAGCAATTGCCTAGTGTATGTTTAAAAAGAAATTTTGACTGTCCATGTTCAAACCAGTGAGTACGAAATAATAGATATAGGGTTTTTTTCTGGAAGTACATTTTCCTTTGTGGAAATAGGATGTTGCAGGATTGAGTCCATTTTTAAATGGATGTTTTTTCCTGATCAATCACCCCCACTGCAAAAAATCACATTAGGAACAGATTTTTATACAAAAGCTGATGTCGGAATTATGGTTTGCTTTTATCTGCAATTTCAAATAGTTAGGAGTTAATGAGGGATATGTAACTTTTATTATTTTAACAAATATGCTAACAGTGGTTGTCTTTTTTCTTTTGAGTGGCTGTTTTTATATTTTTGAACAATAACTTGCTTTTGCACACCTGGTAAGGTCATTAGAAGTTATTAGGACACAGCATCATTCAGAGTCAGGCCTTGGAAGAACTGCTTGCTATAAAGAAGTGTAATGAAATAAGCATAGGGCCGTTTGTGTACCTGGAAAGGTTAGTTTGGGGTTGGAAATCAGAGCGTCAACGAGCTTGAACTGCAGGGAGTCCCTGAGGCCCTGTGTCCTCTTACCATTTCGGAGTCTGCATACAGGACTGCCCAGGCAAACTGCTCCCGGTACACCTACCTGTTCAACGTTAGCAAAAGATTTTGAAGCTTCCAAGATAAACTATTCTTCCTGTAAGTGAAATAACATGAAGATGTGTTGCTTAGGAGGTACTGTAAGAAAGTAGCAACTCTGCGGCTGTGTACTGTAAAATAGCCTTCATTAAGTACGCTCAGCCTTTACCAAATGCTGTGCTCTTAGCACAGGGTGTTACCAAATTGACTGACTATACTGGGATTTAAAGCAGTGGGCTCAGGGGGCTTTCTGCATTTTGGACTTGATTACTCCTTGTTTTCCAAGCACAAACCAACCCTTTTGTTAACGTTAGCATTTTCCTGCTCATTTAATCACATTTTTATTTAGGGCAAACAGTTGTATTTGGGTCCAGTTCTGAGTGGTGCTGGGCTCTCACCACCTCTGTTATCTTCAGCAGGCATTGTGGCACCTCAGCACCCATGGGGATCCGACCCCATCTGAAGCGGATAGTGGTGCACACAAATGACAGCTGTTAGCATCAGATGCGCAGACATTACATTTAACGTAATATGCTCATTCAAATGTAAAACACTTGAGGTTTTTACGTCACCAAAATCTATGACACCAGAAAAACAATAATCTCCTTCAGTAATTGTCTGTTGTCATTTTTTTGCAGAATGCAGATTTTAATGGTGCTATCTTCATCCTCCAGTTTTTGCCTTTACTTCAGTGGAACAATCCCAGGGTCAGGTAGAAATAGGCCCAAATTAAGTGAAGCACA